GTTCGTATCCGTGATGTTACCCGGGTGAGCCGCCGGCATCTATTACAGATTGCATTTTGAAGGTTCTGAATAAAACTGTATTGTAGAATAGCAAGTTTAATTGTACTAGGATTTCTCCAGCAGCTCATGTGATATCCATTAACTGGAGCAATAGTAGCATATTTAAATATTTAAACATCACTGAAGTGTATATTAGTCCTTGTAAAGCACGGACAAAAATTACACTCAGATTCACAAGGTTGTAAGGAAGACAATATTAAAGACAATATATATTTCCCCTCACTTTCTATTATATGTACAAGACTAGCAGAACCCAGACCAGGTTTACAGGTTGACTTTGGGTCTGAATAATCCAGCTCGGGTTTTGTGTCTCTAACCTGGATTGTTTAATTGATTAATGATTGATTATCCAGGTGAGATAAAAGGGGAAGGCTGGAGCATGATGCTGCTCTGGCCTGGGACTCAGACGGCATTTTGAGAGAGCTGCAAGTGGGATATGGTTGTGAGTAAAAGGTTGCTGAAAATAATTTGGTTTTGTCAGGTGGCTGAGAGAAGCTTACCACCTGTTAAGGCCTGTCCACACCATACGCAGTGCGTTCCGGCCTGGAATGCACTGCATTGCAGTGTGGTCAAAATAGTGCTTGCAGCATTTTGAACGCACCGGACCGCAGGCACAGAGTTCAGGCTGTTGCCACTTGTAGCTCTGTTACTGAAGCTTTAGCTGGATCTTACAGAAATTTGTTGTTTCCTAAAGCTGGCCATACACCTTACAATTATCTGCAGATTTTCTGTGGTCAGATGGAAAAGGTGCAACAAATTCCTCCATCTACTCTAAACTGTGTGGATGGAGTAATCCCCACCTGGGCCAATCTGTTGCACTTTTTCCATCTGACCACAGAAAATCTGCAGATAATTGTAAGGTGTATGGGCACCTTTACTCTCTCCACTTGAATCTTGTGCCTTAACTCTTTTGGTGACTTTCATGTGAGTATATTGCTGCCACCTGTGCTTCCTCAGTACTGTTAATGTTTAAATGTAACTTATGGAGTTGTTACTTCATTTGCAGGCTTTTTCTGCCTGTTATACAGTAATTGTTTTCCCTGTCCCATTTATACAGCCAACCGGTTCTGATAGGTCCTGTTGTGCTAAAACCCTTCATTGCCAAATAGGGTAGTATGTGGCTACCACGTATACAGCATTGTTGTTAGTGTCCAGCTCGTTCTGACAGGTACTATTTAAATCATATGAACCCTCTTCAGCTGAGTTGTGACAACAAAGGTAGGATCATGTGTTCAAATCCCAGATGGCAATAACCCTCTTCCCCAAGAGACCAACTACCTTCTATAAGGTGAGCGTCAGGTAGGTATGAAAAAAATAAAAAAAAAGTGTGCATAATGAATTGTAAATCTTTTTAGCTCTTGACAGCACTGTTCCTCAGAGTGCATATGCAGGGGTTAATTAATTGTAGATGTCTCCAGCCCTTTGCCACCACTGCTTCTCAGAGTGCACATTTATAAACTTCTGGATTATAACTCTCATCACCGGCACTGCTCCCTCCCCAAGGACAGAGTAAGCTGCTCTATTTGGTATGAAAGGTCCTCTTCAAGCTGTGATATGGCTGCTACACATTTAAAGACACTGCTATTAGAGTTAAGCTAGCGGATTGCATCACAAGAATTGTAAAACCTTTGAGCAGTGCTGGGCCTGTGATCATCTGGCAGGATGCTGTGCCAAGTTTCCCCTGCAGGAGTAGCAGTAAATAACAAACCAGAAAGGTGGAGATCTGAAGCCTTAAAACAGAGGTGACATACTTTAGGAACTGTCAATTACTAGCCCAGTCAAGCTGCTACATCTACCACAAGTTCCTCTCTAGCCGTAGGGCTGTCGGTTACAGAGTATTGCCAGCATACATCTTGAGTGATAATTCACCAGCAAGGATTCCCTTACCATGGGACTTTGTCATCCCCTAATCATGGCAGTTAAAAAGGCCATATGTTGGGAGGAATATATATCCATTCAAGATGAGGTTTGTTACTTGAACTTAACCTCATGATTGATTCAATAGTCATCTGACTGGCTAGGCAGGAGGACACCGTATACGAGTAAATAAAGTTTATATCTTTTTCTGGAGCACCCATAGGCCACTAATGGCTCTTAGTTGCCAAGGCAATCCATATTTAGCCAAAAGAACACAGAAGCTGGCAAAGAGGTCTCAGTGGTATGATAGCGAGGCTGCTATGAATATGCTGTGTTGGTCATCCGTGACTGCAGTTACCTTGAGTTGGTGCAGATCTCACCACGCATAATATCTCATAATAATATAAGTCACAGGGGATGGAAGAATTCACAATCATCCTTTCTTCATTTGAAAAAAAAAACAACAAGATTACTCCCTCGCAGGAGAAACAAAGTCCTTTTGAGGGGCCCTCTGAACTTGCCCAGTAGGTCTCAGGTTTGTGGGAGCTTATGCAAGTTGAGCATATCCTGTTCAGGATTCATGGGTCCTGTTAATAGTTCAAGACTGACATTGTCAGGATTTTCTAATCATCTTCCAGTCCATCTCATTCCCTTGAAGGTTCCTTGGTGTAAGCAAAGCTCTAGGTGCTATGTACACATACCCAATGGTGTCTCGTAATTTTTTCCAGCCCTAAAAATATGTCAAGCTATTTATCCTCAATTTTTTCCTTTTGGGAAAACGAGGAGACATAAGACTAGTCTTGGTTCTGAAAGCTTTAAAAGAGATGGATCAGATCCAGATATTGCATATGAAAATCACTTAAGCCATCAACAGGCTATCGGATGTTGTGCCTAGCAGATGTGTATTCACGTTCCTGTACGCCTTTACTTTCTCAAATGTCTTGCTTGCCATTCTAAAGTTCCACTTACAGTTTGTTTATCTGCCCTTTGGCCTCACCACAGTCCAAGGTAATTTTCCAAATATTATATCCAGTCACTGCCTTCTTGAGTAAACAAGGCTTTTAGAGTATTACACTATTTGCGGCGACATCCTGCTGATAGTGCTGCATGGTCATACTCTGGCAGTCCACAGGAACATCTCAATTTAGATCCTGATCAAATTTAAAGGGATCTACAACGAAGAAAGCCAAGCCATGCCAACACAATGGATGAGATTTTCAGAGAAACGCTACAGAACTTCCAAGTAGGCAGCAGTCTTTGTGTTTATTTAAGGCAGGTTAAGTCTCTATCCTACTCATTGGCGTCCCATTGTCTCAAATTGACAGGATCAATTCAAATAGTGAAATTAGACTTATTGGAGGCTAAAAGTCTTCCAACCGGATTCTTAAGACAACAGAGAAAACATTCCCTGTGCCAGAGGATCAGGGTGATTCCAAATAGAAGATTCTTTGGATGCAGCTAAGGCTGGCGAGCCTATTTCAACTGTCATCATTAGTGTCCCTTTCCAGTGATGGTATTAATAATGGTTTCTTATGTGCTAATCACTTCGTCAACTTCTTAGTCCAAAATCAGTGACAGTCTACTGGGGGAAGAAAACTCCAGCGTCTTGGAGTCCAGAGAGCCTTTCAGATCCAAGGAGCCTCAAATGAAAAACAAGATGCTGTTTTTTCATAGATTTGGTGTCATAAGGGAGGGCCTGCTCACTGCTGATGTAGATACCTCGAATCATGAATTCATAACTGAACTTCCCAGAATTTCTTGGCTGGCACTATAAGCCACAAAGCCCTGGACAACAATGAACGTTTTTCTTACCCAGCAAGTATTCCTGTCCATCAGTAGCACATGGGTTATTTTTCCGTATATACACACACACACACACTCACACAAATAGATGTATATCATAAAAGTGCTTTTTATCCTATTTGGCAGAGAGTCCTAGCAGGGCAGAACGACGGACTTGAAATAAGAATAAAATGTCAGTCCAATCCATGCTATTATGTGAGATCTTGCTCTAGTCCTTGCCATAGAGTCCCACCCACTTCACATAGTCTCCCTTTCATAAAGTAAAAAATATCCACCAGAGAAAGACGAAGCCACTTGTAATCTCTGTGGCATGCCTAGGAACATGCGCATGAACTGCTATGGAGCTCTCCATAACAGACCCTGAGGGATATTAGAGGACAATTGGTAACTGAATATATGCATTTTTGGGTGGAAAGCCATTTGCTATAACCGTTAAAGACAAAGATGCAGTGTAGATCTACATAAGAAAATTTACACTGGTTAATTTGATATAATCAATGTAAGGCTTCATTCACCAAAATCTTTTCAATCATATGCACTGAGAAAATGTGCACATTTTGACATGTCTTTATTTTAGGTCATTGCACTAGGCTATGTGTGTTTATGTACACATCTTAAACAGATCTCCTACCAGTAACATACATTAAAAATGCACAACAATGCACTGGCTTATGTTGGCATAAATTGTGGTGCAGTGTATGTTTTTCCATGCACTACATCACAGCTCTGTTGTAGGAAACGGGCATCATCAAAAACTATTGTATTTCCACTATTCTGTTTTTGCTGCAGTGGCAAAAAGCAGCATAATGCACTGCAATGCAGTCAATGGGTGTGGATCCTAATCCTATCTACATATCAAGAATTACAGTGTTCACAATGATTAATATACAAGTGACGCCTTGTCTAGCTATAATGTTTCTTAGGTACTAGTAGTACATATATTTATAATGCTATGTCTAAAAGGAAAACATACAAATGTTTTGCTGACTGCTACAGTATTGTAAATGAGGAGTTCGATTTAAATGATACATAGTTTTACAAGTCACAGGGGTGCGCACCAGAAAGCAATGAGATATTATTTAGACAGCTTACTTGGCCATATGAGCTTTAGCTTCACTTGGACTATACCACAATTTCCATATATTTCTATAGAATGTCCAGCAAAGGGAAGGTTTCTGCACGGCTGCAATCTTGGTTTTCACCATAATCTTAGAGACTTGAAAAGCTGGGTAACTGGCTGCCCCAAAACCTGTTACAACTTCCCTAAAACTGAATTATTGGTTTTGGGCAGTGCATCCTCTCCAGTCAATGGGGAAAGTAGGATTGCTGTGAGAAGAAGTAAACTAGCTAAAGTGGGGTACACTACTAGTAAAGTGAAAGCATACTATTTTCCTATTAGACGACATCATAGGGGGTGGAAAGTCACGTCATATAATCCACTATGACTTTAAAAGTGGGGTCTCTGTTGGATTTTCCCTGTTACACAAGGGGAGGGAGATGAAGAAGCCATATGCTTACTTTAAAGGGAGCCCTGCTGTGCCCTCTGCACTAAGTAAACTGGTAAGTGGTCTTAAAAATCACTTTTTAGCAGTTAACTCAAACACTAGGTGAATTGAATTTTCATCTTGTGAAGCAAGTACCCGACCCCATTCTGCGGAATCACAGATCAGGGCAGATTTTCATCTCTAGCTGTGATATAAAGTTTTTTTTTTAAATCTTCCACCCTATGTTCCCATGTTCTTCAGTCCTTTTCAGCATCAATACATATGAAGGAACAATAAAAGAAAGGAAAGGGGAGATGTTTACTGTAAAAGCAAGCTTCCAACTGTCAACTTATAAAACATTAAATAAATGATCCGGCTGATTGCTCTAGGCATCACAGAATCCTTCCTTCACCACATGCGATGCAACAAAGTCCAAGCCCTGTTTGCTATAAGCAGTACAAACAGTAGTTTGGGATTGTAGTGAAAATAACTTGCTGTATAGGTATGAAAATCTCAACATCAGTCGCAACTGTGTGGGATCAACACATCCAGGATTTGAAAGTTTTTAGGGGTTTGCTACCTCCATAACAGGGACTTTGTTGTCCAAACAAGGAGAACAAAGAGCAATATGAGAACAGTTGTACAAACCTCCAGGACAACAATAAATATAATTGCTGATTCAGGACCAAGCCAGGGTAACAGTCTCTGAAGCTGTCCACATTGTCCAAGCAGGTAACAGTTCACAATAATGGCTATTACACCCATTGCCTCCATTACATTCTGAAAGAGAAATGTGCATGTTTTTACATTTAGAAATGTTTTTACATTGAGAAATTACTATATTTACGTACTCACTAGCTTTGTATATGTACATTTTGCCACACAAAGATCAGTGTATAAAGCGTGAAAAAACTACAGCTATAGAAACATATATTAGCAGAACAAAGTTGATCAAACCATGTATATTGGAAACCTCTCACTGCCGTCCACACCCACCAGCTCCTTACTTGCCACTGTCCAATTCCGTCCACACGGCGACCAAACGGTCTCTGAAATCCACTGCAGAGTTTGAAGGCATCACTGCGAATTTCAATGATGTTATTGACAAGGGCACATACTGCAGCAAGGGGAAAAGCAGATGAGAAAAGGACCACATAGCCAAACTGAACAAACATCTCTTGATAATCCTGGAAGGTATCCTAAGGAAAGCAAATCACAAACAAGATCAGAATGGAGCAGACATAGAACTAAAAACACCTGGAGGGGAATCTATCAAAACCGAAGCAGACAGAATCTGGTGCAGTTGTCCATGACAACCAATCAGTTTCTATCTTTCATTTTCAAATCTTAAATGAACAATCTGAAGAGAGATGCTGAATGGTTACTATGGGCAACTGCTCCAGATTCTGTTTGCTCCAGTTTTGATAAATTCCCCCCCTCTTCACTGAGGACTTTAATCAATACACCATACACCTTAGATGTTAAACGGATAAATACAAAATGTTTCAAAAATATCCATAAATATTCTCTTTAGAAAAATAGGTAGACAAGGTTGTATCATGGCCAGTGGCGTCACAAGGGGGGTGCGGCCCGCACCCGGTTGACCCCAAAATGACTCACAGTCATTTCCGTGTCACCCCCCTCAGAAGAGTCGTGGGGCTCGGTCATGGACCGAACGCCCGACAGTATCAGGAGAGAGGAGGGGACCCGGCGGCATACCTTATCCCGCTGGGTGACTGTCCCCTCCTCTCTCTGCCGGCGTCCATCACCAAGATGGCCGCCGGCAGTGACATCTCGACGGGGTGACACTCGGCTACCGCTCCGGGTGTCACCCAGCCTCGGGACGCCCCTGATCATGGCCCTGTTACATGGGCATAAAGGTTGGTTACGGGCTTCAGGATGAAAGTAAACCTGTGCATCGTTCGCAGGAGGGCTAAGCAACAGGTTTAGTTTATTCCCAGTTGGACATCAGTCTATGCCTACCTTTTTCCATTAAATTGACTTTACAGAGGGCTGAAGACTCTCACCCCACCCCCATGTGTCAGCACTGAAGGCCTTAGTAGCTAACTGGCAAGTCCCAGCGGTGTCACATGCTCCATCACACCCAGAAATATTGGGTCATCAGCTGTCCAATGGAATTGTGGGGGAGTGAAGGGAAGATGAGCATACTGGTGGGGCCAGAATTAGAGTGAAACTATTGTTTAGCCCTGCATGTATGTGCAAAGCCAACGTACACTTTAAGCTTATGTTATATAAAAAAACAAAACAATATACACTCTTACAAGCTCCAAGCATAACATGGTCACATATATAAATAATATTACTTTCTCACCTCATACTTCTTCATACAACTTTCCACCTCAGCTTGAGTTAACTTTGTGGGATAATGGTCTTCAGGAGGGTTCATCCATGACTCTCGTTTCTGCTTTCTCACAGATTCCTCATCGTCCTCACCTTCCTTACCAATCTCAGGTTCCATTGTCATCCTTTTCCTCCTCCTCCGTGGCCTTAGCTTTACTGCAGGTTCCTGTTCCTCTAATTCCTGCAGCCCTGCCCCAAGTTCTTTCTCATCTTCTTCATCATCATCACCCAGCTGGAAAACTGAGGCTGGGTCACTGCCTTTCTCCACAAGTGTAGGGCTCCCTTCCTGTAAGAAGCCCATCTCATCCTCCTGATGAGAGAGTAGGCACCCTTCTGCTTGCTTTTCCGCTCTTTCCAAAAAGCTAACCCTTTTCAATTTCAGTCCACAATCCATAATACTTTCTTCCTCCGATTCATCCTCCTCAGAGAACGCACCTTCCTCCTCCTCCGGGACACCACAACCTCCATTCAAACACTTCTTACGTCCCCCTACACCAGTCTCCAGAGGATCTCCAGGTGGCCTAGATAAGCACTGAGGAAAGGCATACTTCTGCACAAGCCTTCTTAGTCCATACTGAATAATAAGCCAGATGGATTTAGCATTCATCTCTCCTTGCTGCATTCTCTGATACAGGTGGGGTTGCGAGACCTCCTTTACGTTCTGCAGAAACTGGCGAATGACCAGTAGTGTGGCTAGCATCTGTATAAAAGAGGACAACAAAATACATCTGAGAGAAAATGTCAACAGTATAGGCTGTATCCAGTATACAGAAAAATGTCAAACCATTATACTTTAAGGTTCAAGGTCATATTTAAACTGCAGAAATTGATCAATATTTACTGAACAAACTTAATTAGTGAAGAAACGGTTTTGATTATTTTATTATCATGACCTTGTAACTTTACATAAAATGAAGGAGGATCAGCTGATAGGTCTGGCTACATCAGGTTAAACAATATAGGAATTTTTTAACTGGCTAAAAGTAGCATAGGATTCACCTTTTTAACTGCCTAACCTTACACTGACCAACTTCAAATGTTGCAGAAAAAAATAAATACATAATTTAACCTGGAATGTATCTGCAAAGTGTGTTGTGTGTTAATGGTATGTTAAAATTATTTTTTGAAGCTATATGTTAGCTAGCCCATTTTTCAGAAAAGCAGGATTTTTGTCTTCCCTGTAAAATCAGTTTCTCGGAGTACGTTGCGGGACACAGTTCATTCAAGAAAAAGATGAATTAACGGGTTATGTAGTTACCTTCAGGTGATTGGACACTGGCAAATCAAAGCTGTTAGGCGATCCCTGAATAACCTTTCCCACTCCCAGCCTGCCTCAGTTTTGCAGTAAGCAGTACAAGAGTGGATCACAGAAACATAGGAGGGGACTGTGATGTACTCCAAGAAGAGATGTCAGGAGACAGGACCTCTTCATGAGCTGAGTCCACAGAACTGGAAGCAGCCCCTTTTTCAAATCTTCTTCTTCCTCAGGGAATGCACAAACAAACCATGGAAATTCAGAGGGGGACTCTGAAAGTGAAGGGGCCCGCTTACACTCCCTGCAGTCGAGGGACTCTTAAGAGTGCAGACATTTTCCCTATAAAATTCCACCATTACAACTGTAAATTCCTCTCTGGACAGGGTAGAGGGGGGTGCCCTGGAGGGAGGGGAGAAAGACAGTGGCGTAACTAGAAATCACAGGGCCCCATAGCAAAATGTTGTATGGGGCCCCGTGATTGCTAGTTATGCCACTTGCAGAGCCCACCTGATTTACCAAACAGCCCACCTGAGAGTGACCCTGCAGAGCCCACCATAGACTCTCTATAGTGGGCTCTGCAGGGTCTCAGATGTGCTGCACACCTCTTACCTGTCAGCGTTGTACGCCTCCGTGGTCGCCGGACCCCGCCTCCTCGTTGATCGACGGATCCTGCCTTCTCTTACATCACTGGCCCCACCTGCTCTTAGGTTGCTGGCCAGTGATGTAAGAGGAGGCGGGGTTGCTCTTAGGCGGGCCTCGCCTCCTCCTTTACTGCGAACACCGGCCTCTTCTGCCGTAGCTGCTGGCTGTCACTGACTCCGCTATGAGGGAAAACACCGCTGCTGAGCTGTGTCAGTGACAGGCAGCACCCATACATGTCATAGCGACCCACACGGCATTAGAGGGATGCCTTGGCCGGGGCCCCCCTTTGCCCCATAATCGGCCGCCTGGGTCGCTATGGTGACTGTTACGCCACTGGAGAAAGATCCTAAGGCGGCGAGTGAAGGAGGAGAGCATCCCCAGAACCTGCCGCTCCATGGCTATGATATGCCATTGCCTGAGGGGTTTGACAACAGTACTCACTACAGTGAAGGTGGGGAATGCTTAGTGTGGTAGCATCGTTGGCAGCAGCTCTGTATTCCCAGAGCAGCGGTCAGCAGAAATCTGCATTCCTTCAGCACAATGCAAAGTCGCAGCAGTAACTGGATCAGTGTGTGCAGCCAGCTAAGCGTGCTCCAGTAGAGCAATCAGAGAGAAGTTGCACAAGTGTCGTGCAGCTTTCCAGGCTGCCCATGAACCCAAAGAAAAAAGCACCAGTTTTTTTAAATAGAGGGGCACCAGGTACAGTCTGCCATGGCCCTACAGTGGATGAGAGCAGCATTAGGAAGAATTTGCTAGTCTTCAGCAGTAAGTGCAAAAACACATGTACTTCAGAGAGAAGCCATCCATCAGTGCACTTGATTAACGGCTTTGATTTGCCAGTGTCCAATCACCTGATGGTAGCTGCATAACCCATCTGTTCAAGAATTTACTTTTGATTTGACAATTAAGAAATAACCACAATCACAAACAATCACTCAGTGCCACACCTCTGTTAAGTGAACTAATTATATTCTGATGTTCCCTAAATATCAGTTTGTGAAACCATGAGCCGTCACCAGGTGACAGGTGCAATTTAACTACCTCCCGGCCAGCCGTTGTGTATACACGGCCGGCCGGGAGCTTCTTGGATGTTACTGGGCGTGTATACACGTCCTGTTACTTCCGCCCGCTCGGGCGGGAAATGCCCGTTATTTGAAAACAGGCAGCGATGCCCGTTAATATACAAGCGATCCGCCGGCTATAGAGCTTGTATGAGGTCCCGTGATGTGCGCCCCCCCTCCCGCTGTCAAGCTGGTCCCAGGCTCTGGTGCGAGCCCGGGACCAGCATAGTGCCTCTGTAACAGGGGATCAGAGGGAGGTCGGTTCACGTTCTCCCTCCGGTCCCCTCTCCGCTGTCAGAATGCGGAAGTGGTGTATATTACATCACTTCCGCATTCTCGTGTCACTCACAGATCTCTGCTTCATCAGCTTCTTCAGGGGGGTCCTAGGTGACATTAGGGGTCTTGGAGACCCCTAAAAAAAAAAATAATAAAGAGGACCTGTCACCTCTTTTGCTATCACATAGAGGGGTTTCTTAGCCCCCTCTGTGATGGCAATAAAGTTAAGTGGAAAAAAAAAAATAGGAAAAAAATGTAAAGTTTCCCCCCCAATTTTGTTAAAGTTACACATAAAAAAGAATAAAAACATTTTTTTTTTTAAAGTCCCCACCCCTACATACACGCATGTAAACATGCATCAGGTGCGCATACCTGTGAAAACGACGATTGCGCCCATTACGCCACACATGTTACATATTGCCGCGAACGTCGCAGGGAGAGCAATGATTCTAGGGTCATCAATCACTGATAACACTAAACTGATGAGCGGTAAAAGCTTTTAAAGCGTCGCCTACGGCTAATTTTGGGTATGCTAGTTTTTTGTGATTTTGCGAGTGCGTGCAATTTTGAAGCTTGACATGTTTGGTGTCTATTTACCCGACGTGACCCCATCTTTTATATTTTACCAAAAAAGTGGGTAATATTAGTTGTTTTATAACAATGTAAAAAAAACTTTTTTTTCATAATGTTCAGTAATTTCTCCTGAATATAGTAAAAAATAAAAACCCCCAGTGGTGATTAAATACCCCCATAAGAAAGCTCTATCTGTCCCCAAAAAATGGTATAAAATTCATTTCAGTACAGCGTTGCATGACGGAATAGATGTCAGTCAAAGTACTGCAGTGCTGAATACTGAAAAATGGCCTGGCCAGGAAGGGGGTCTAAACACCAAAGTTTAGACCAAAGTAGTATGCCAACAAAGAAGAAGAAGCAAGACTAAGATTTAGAATAAGACTCCAGAAAAAATGCACATAGATATTTACCAAATCTGGACAGATTTTATGGCAAATTCAAATTGAGCTGTAAGCTTAGAAGCCAATTTGACCACACACCTTGATCCTACACTAGAACTCAATCATCACCCATTGAGGATTGCACCATGAAAATGATGATGAAATAAGCGTTTCCATCCAAGCATTTGATTCTTCCCCTTTCTATGGCCTGTAGCATAACCATGACAATATGACTTACTAACACTGTTCTCGATGAGATATCTCAGTATGTTAAATCACTGTGTATGGCCATCCAATTTAATAGTCATAGGTGCTGCTACTGATCTGACTGATTTAGTATGCACATTTTGTACTCGTCCCTGTTAGTCATACAAGAAGGAATTATTCAGCCTCCTCCAGGCAAAGCTAAGACCAGGTATTTTAGAAAAAGCTTGCAAAATTCCATTTTATCCTTTAACTCCTATATATCAAATGCAGAGATTATTGCGATTTAAGAACATGGCTTGCAAAAAACAGACGGTGCAGTACATCCATTTTTGCTAAATACAGCACCTTTTAACAAATGTATGTCACAGCCATATTTTGTAAAGTTTAAAGAGCGCCTGCAGTATCAGATAAAATGGCATGTAAATAGCTATAGCCCTTGCTTTTTTAAATCATTAAGATTAAAAAAAGAGTATTTTGGAATAACGATGACCACATTCTACACTAATTAAGCTCCACTAATGAGGTTAGGTTGTGGCAACTTCAATAATACTTACAGGGTTATTCACAAAAGGGTGAAGAGTTTGGAGAAGACAGGAGAAGTGAACAATCTAGGACAACATAGCTAAACTGGAAAGTGAGCTGAATTTGAGAATTTTCCCTAACCAGCTATTTCGGCCTAGATCGTTCACTTCTTCTGCCTTCTGGGTGCCAAACTCTTCACCCTTTTGTGAATAAGCCAGTTAGTGTTTTAGGATGATAAATGACAGCTGTGACTTTTACACGTAACCTTTTCCACAATGCCATAGAGCCGGTGGATCGCTCGTATAAGGTGCCGGTGCCCTCTCCGTGGCCCCACTACCGCTGTCCTGCTGATCCTGGGCTCCGCTGTGCCGGGTGTGAGCCAGCATGGTGGGTCCGTGACAGGGGATCAGAGGGAGATCGTTAAACGATGTCCCTCCATCCCATACATACACGCATGCAAACATGCGTCGGGTGCACATACGACGAAAACGAAGATTGCACCCACTACGCCGCACATGTTACATAACGCCGCGAACGTTGCATGACGGAATAAATGTCAGTCAAAAGTACTGCAGCGCTGAATACTGAAAAATGGCCTGGTCCTCAAGTGGTTAAGAACCAGATTAAAAAAAAATATCTTATATGTGCCTCTCTGATCTACCTCTCTCTCAGGGCTTGATGTCCCTGATTATGGAACATTAAGGGCTTTATTTCTTGACTCTAGGCAACACAGTTAGAGCAGTGTCATAGGCTCCCAATGCTTTCCAATGAGAAAACTCACTGGGCACTGAGGTGCTCTCACGGGACATGGTGGCGGTGGAGACTGAACTTATCTCAAGAGGCCTTATAAACACTGAAACCAGGATTACAGTGGCATACCCAAGAACTTTTTTTGGCTAGTAACTATTATAGCAAGCACCCTTTGGTACCTGCTCATAGCGGTCCAATGGTTTAAAATAGGCAAGCAGTTAGCCTAAATACAGATGCCCTTAGGAACAGACACTAAAAACGTATTTCTAGAGAGAGGGTTATGGGTCTCTGAATGCAACAAAATATAATTTTCATTACAGCCCAGGAGTAAACATCTATTGCCCCCCACTCACTTCTTTCTGCTCAGTGAGCTAAGAGCATAGCAGATTACTGTGAAAGATTATAGAAATAATCAGGCTGCAAAGGTAGGCATAAACCCCTAGCCACCCTCCATCGCATACCAAATTTTTATACTTCAAATGGACCTGGTGTCAAGCCAAGGCAACAACGGACCTCCTAAGTACTACAGGGGTTAAGTTGACACAGCAATGGGAGTTATAGCTCCCATACATTAAGAATACAGAATTCCCCCAATCCCATCTCCCAGTTTCATACTTTAGACCTGAAGAAGCGCCGGGCTGATCTGAGAAGTGCCCTGAGGAAGATGAGGAACAGTTGGTACTGGAGGGTGAGGAAAGGAAGGAGGGCGGCTTTAATCTGACGGGTGAAGCTATTGGGCAGAGAGAAAACAAGCAGTTGCTGCAAAGGAGGGTGGGAAGGAAGGTGTGAGGTGAAGGAAAAAAAATTAGGGAAAAGGGAGAGATAAGAACAAAGGAGAATAAACAAAATTATAAAGTAGGAACAGAAAGAAAAGGCTTAAAGCAGTGTCACATGTTTAGTTTTTTTTCTTTAACAATATCTCTTCATTACTATTACCCGTATGAAAATCTTCTACAATTCTCGTATTTAAAAATATGGAAATGTTTTATACCTAAAATGCACTAACACCCCAAGACCTGTGAACCTGCTTTAAACCAGTCACTGTCGATCAAGATGTAGGCAACACAGTTATTTAATAACACGGCACTTTTCACATGCATGATATATTGTAAGCCACTTGGCATCTGTAGGAGCAGCAAGTGGGTCTAAGCTATGTGAAAGACCTTTGAAGGATGAGTCAAGGTTGAACAAATTATGTTGGGTTAATCTCTGCAAAAAAAAAGCACTACACTGAGAAGGACTAAATGAAACCCTAATCTTCTTTAGCAACAACGGATGCTATGCCCAATTCACCATTTTCCATCCTTTACTTTTTCAATGAGTACCAGTACCAAACATGAACCCTGCCATCTTGTTTCAATGAGAATTTTCATGCCTATTCATAGCATCAGGTCACTGAGACCAACAATGCATCAGTGTTGAGAATCAGGAAGGGCCTATTCACATCAAGCACACAGCACGGGTTTTCATGTTTTGCATTAGGCAGTGCATTTAAAATTACCGGGACTGCAACACAAGAAAAGATTGGTGCTTTCTGCATTTTTTGCACAGCACAATGAATCTCATTGTATACTATGAATTGTGGTGCGTTGCATTTTGGAGGTGTGTTGAGGTGCTGTTCACAATGAATGGTACCACAGTGCACCAAAGAACATAACATGCATTACTGCAACACAGGTGATATAAGTGGGCCCTGAGGGCATACTGCTGTGAAGATGCAAAGACAATTTTTTGTAAATATATTTTAATTTCTCTTTTTTTTTCTGAATATGTCTTTACTATTTAGATTTGCACAAACTGGACATATCCTTCAAAACATTCCACCTACAAGACATGCATGTTCCTCATCGGACAGTGACCTTGAAGATGAGGATAAGAGTTCGGAAATAGGATTGGTTGGTGAAAGGAATGATTATGTCAGGACAAGAAAATGTAACACATATTAATATGTTGGGAGAAGGAGAAGGGAGGTATAATGCCTAATAAAAGAATACAAACCACCCATAAAAAAACAATTCTTCACAGGTATTTACTATATGTACTGCTTACTTATGGTGTTCCTCACCAAAACATTAGCTAGGTACGAATAAACCCATACATGATAATGATGCAGACGCAACAAAGTTGAAGAGGAATACTACAAGAAAAATCTACAAAATATACTCGTTCGTTTACAAAGTATAATCCTATGATCAGGTATTAACATCTCTACAGAATAACATGGACACATTTAATTATCATTTAATAGCTCTAGCACTGTAGAATGGCCAATGTGGGAACGCTTTCAGCTGCTCAATGAAAGCCGACGTATTGTTAAAAGCCCCCGGGGAGGAATTTATCAAAACTGGAGCAGACAAAATCTGGAGCAGTTTCCCATGGCAATCAATTAGCTTCTCTCTTTAGTTCGTTCCGTTAAGGTTTGAAAATTGCAACAAGTAGGAAGTCTTCCTACTTGCTGCAATTGACTTAATTATTAGGGGGGAGAGGTTGCAACAGGAGACCGCTGAGTTAGCGATTCACGGGTGTGTTCTTAAGGTGTGAAAATGAAAGCGAGAAGCTGATTGGTTGCCATGCACAGCTGCTCCAGTATGGATCTCCAAGAAGTGTCTAAATTCAGAACTGATGCTTTCTAAACATGAAATAAGCTATTTTGAATGGTTGTTAATAGAAACAGCTCATCTTTCAGACATGGTCACATATGTGTCACTACCTTTTGGTCATATTTTGGAGCAGGAAAACATTTAACACTAAAATCACATCATGTTAGTATAGCTTAGCACTGCATGTTAAAAAGCAAAAGGTCTAATGTGCGTCATCTTGAGGCTGGTATGTCATTGCTTAAAATGCAAATGATAAGCCTGACAATGATGTCTTCACTCACCTCCTTCAGTCTTTCCATGTCTTTGAGGTAGAAACCAATGTAGAAAAGACTTAAATAGGAATTTACAAACTGGAACTGGGGACAGAGAAAAACAGAAAAATCACTAGCTTTACACACACAGCGGTTTGTCCTTTATATCTAAAATACTACCACTTTTCAAAAATGACATTCCAGCTCCCAAAAGTATATTATTATAGGTCCTCTAAATTGTAGTTATATGAAAATAAGCAACCTTTAGTCCCTTCTATGCACCCCATCAAAGGTTCTCGCTCCATGTCACAGGTGCACTCCCCTATCTTCAAGCAAACCCACTTTCCCAACATAATACTTACTAAAACAATTTTGATGATTAGATGTTTCTCATAGGCACTCTGTAAACGGTAATTCTCTGCAAGTACAACCAAGTGAGAGGTAAGGAAAAGTGCAAAGACCAGCAATCATTGCCACATCAGTAAAAGAATGCATACTGTAACAAGGTAGTACAAAACAAGAGAAGGGGATACGCTCTAGCATACTAATAAAGGCTGCAGCAGTTGTCATTGTAACTGGACAAGGGTTTGTTACACCCTGCCAACCACTGTCACTCTCTTCCACACTTGCTGCCCTTTCTCCCTATACAAGTTACCTACTTGTAGTGGTGCGGAGGATCTGTATTTTAAGATTAAAATACATACAAATCATTTTTTTCCTAATCATGGCAAATTCCCAGGCTGAATAAGCAATCAGGCTTACAATGCAGTCTCAAACTCTGTTGAAGAAACAGCAGGGATAGGTTGATTTTTTTTATAGCCTTCTACAAATTAAAAAGTTGTCCAGTTGTTAAGATTGTTTGATAACTTCAAACTCTAACCAATGTATATTAACCCAATTTCAGAGCTGTACCTCTAGGATTATACAGATATTCACAGAAGCATGGGACATTCTAAACAATAAAATACTATTAAAGAGCATGTAATATCTTCAGATAAGTCCACAGAAGAAATGGAAAGGGGGGCAGTTGCAGAATGGGGTCAGCTGCATTAGGGACTTAACACTGCATTTCACCTGTATAATACTTTTTATGGAGTAAATTATAGGACACAGGATGGAAATTCTGAAACCATGGGTTATAATGTTCCACCCAGCTGCAGGATTGACAGCTGGCTCTGCCTAGCTAGAGGCTCTGTGAGCGAGCAACGCTATGTGTTCGCTTACTTCCCGATCCATTGAGCCGACCTGTGACGGTTTCATTGTCACAGGTCGGCTAGAACTATGAGGCTGAGTGATTTTCACTCGCCTCATAGTTCTCCTTTAACTTATTACAAATAGGACCCTATTGTAATAATCAATGGACAAAGAATTATTTAGAGCAATGCATACTCAGATTTTGTCTCTTTTACTGGCATAGCTTCCACCTTCCTCCATAGGACTACATGTCCTATCATTCCTATCAGGTGGGTTATGACGGGTAATGACCCACCTCCTGGCTTCCTGATTGGCCGGGAAGCCGGCTCCATGCTGTTTGGCCAGCTCAAAGCTGATTGGATGGGAAGCTGGCTTCCTGGACAATCAGCATGGAACCAGCCAAACAGCATGGAGCCAGCTTACCGGACAATCAAGAAGCCAGGCGGCGGGTATTGACACGCCTCCCGACATTCTGATTGGACGAGAAGCCGGCTAAATGCTAGAGGAAGTACTGGTATTGGCATCAGTGAGTACCGAAAGATAAATGTTGATACTCATACTCGATACCAAAAAAAAGGTATCGGTGCATCCCTAGTCGCAACAAAAAGATAGCAAGGGCTGCAAGGGAGAACAAGGCCTTCAAAAGGGTTTCCAACTTTTTAGCCACAGGGTTCTTGAGTATAAAACGTCCTCAACAGGGACTGCTAAGGCCTTGTTAAGACAGGAAATGACTGGGTCTGCGACCAAGACAGCCAACTTCTTCAGTCGTCCGTCCTCATTAGGATAATGCTCAATGAATACTTGGGAGGGGGAAAGATTTGTTTCAAGATGCGCCAGTCATCGCATAACAGCGAATGTAAATGCGAGTGTACAGGTAAACAAAATTTTAGCCCAAGCCATCTTTAGGTAACCCAGGTTGGTGATCTTTGGCAAAGCAGAAGCAGGCTGTTGTAGATTAGGACATGTGGAAACTGCATCCATAAGGATAGAAATAGTATCCTTAAAGTGTATTTACACTTTTGCATCCATAATTGGGATAACACCTACTATTACTGTTAAATTTTTCATTCACATTTAAAAAAATGCATTCAAATTGCTGCTTTTACAAATGCTCTTTTCTGAAAAATCCTCCTAAGTTCTTACTTGCTGTGCAATGCTTATTAGAGGGCAGGAAGGTTTTACTTACCATAATTAACCCTGTTTGTACTCTGCTGGCAGATTTCATTATCAACGAAATGTGCAGGAATGTCTGTCTTAAAGGGTTAAAAAATACATTGTTTTTAGACTATTTGGCAGAAAACTCCTCTCTTCATAAGGAGGAGGGAGGCAGGGAGGGGGGTTAAGGAGGTCCCTGAGGAGAGAAGAGACTCAGTTTGGGGACATCAGTCTGTGCTGTAGACCCCCCCAGTGAGGGAAGTCCACCAGGGGGTACTCGCAGCCTTGCGCTTCAGAGTAGGAAGGGTTAAACTTTCTGTGACCCATCACTGTAGGCAGCAGAAACCCAACAAAGTCTCACAGTATCATTGTGCTGTAAGTTGATGGAGAGATAGAAAGGAATGGAGCCAGCTGCACCTGAACTGAAAAATGGTGAGCAAATGCATAGTACTTTCAGGCAAGAAGGCGGCTGTGCCGACTCAGTAGGAGTCCCGGACCAAAAGCCTGACTAAAAAAATTGGCACCAAATTTTTTTAATTCTCTGGCCTATTCTCTTGCTTACAACAAAATAAGTCGCCGGCAGTGCTCTGCAAGTTAACTCCTAAGGGACCCCAGAACACAGCACATCTAAGCTCCCTGGAAAGGCACAGGCCACAACTTAGCACAGCTATGACATTCATCCTGCGGTCCCGCAGTAGAGGTAGGATGTTAAGCAACAATCCCACTAGCAGTTTTCACCCGCGCAGTGAGCATACTCCCTAAAGAGTTTTCAGGGAGTGGGATGCACCAGGTTGTAGTACTACAGCCCTGGATCAACTCAACGTGTCGCACAACATGCCCAGGTGAACGCCAGACGCAGGATCCAGTGCCCAGAGGTGACATTAGAGGCTGCCTCCGCATCTTCTTTTTGGCGGGGTCCAGATACGGTCCCCCAGGGCAAAGTTAAGGAGCAACTAAGATGAAAGCTGCAAGAAGGAGCCTTAGTAGCACTGCAGCTAGCGGAAGAAAACTTGCTTGAAGACAAGCAAAAACTAAGACTTGCCGGGAGTGGGAGGGTTCACATTGAGCTGTCCTTACAGCGTGGTGGTGGCAGTATAATCCATGGTTTCAGAATTACCATCCTGTGTCCTGTATTGTACAATTAAGAAATATACATTTACATGAAAAATTGGTTATACGACAACAATATGGTAATGAAAAGGAAAATTAATAATAAAAAAAGTCACTATACCCATATCATTTAACCAGTACGCAATCTTCCTGTACACCTCATCACAAGAACTAACTATAATGGCCAAGAGGATCTTGGGGAGGAAGCGAACAAGTCGTGGGAGCTCTCTTATACTGAGGACAAACTCCTGTCAAAGAAAAAAGCATGAAAACTATTGACATACACCTGATGAGTGTGCACATATCCTCTCATTATATCATTCTGACAATGTTAGAAGCATGGTTACATAGTTACATAGTATTTGAGGTTGAATAAAGACATAAGTCCATCAAGTCCAACCTATTGTGTGTGTGCATTTATGTTTGAGCTGGTGTGTGAGTGTGTATTAGTCCATGTATGATTTTGCTCTTAGGCGTACCTGTACCCCTGTATGTTATGGTCTCCGAGGAACTCGTCCAGGAGTTTCTTGAATGATTCCACACTCCTGCGGCAGCGAGTTCCAGACCTTAACCGCTCTAACTGTGAAGAACCCCTTGCGCCCTGTGTGTTGAAATTTTTTTTCCACCAATTTTTGTTGGTGCCCTCTGGTCTTTGTTACCGAGCTAACCGTAAACAGTTTGTTAATAATGCTGCTGTCGCCCTTGAATAGTTTATACAGAAAAATCATGTCCCCCCTTAATCTCCTAACCTCCAAAGAGAACATATTTAAATGTAACAACCTTGTTTCATAGCTCAGGTCCTCGAACCCCTTAATGAGTGTGGTTGCCCTCGCTGGACTTTTTCCAGCTCAAGGACATCTTTTCTGAGAATCGGTGACCAAAACTGGACCGCATACTCCAGATGCGGCCGAACCAGTTATCTGTAAAGTGGCAAAATTATAGACTTGTCCCTGCAATACATTCCCTTCTTAATGCAAGACAGAACTCTGCTTGCTTTATTTACAGTTTCAGTTCCTTGAGTACCTTGGGGTGTAGATTATCAGTTCCTAATGCTTTATTTGCATTTAGTAGTTGAAGTCTTTGTTGTATCCCAGTTTCAGTCAACCACTGAGGTGTATTTCTTGTTAAATTTTGTGTTTTATCATGTACATTAAACCCGCCTGTTTCCTGGGTGAATAGCGACGAGAAGAAAGTATTTAGCACCCTGGCCCCCTCCCTGTCGTTTGTGAGTAACGTCCCATTTATGTCCTTTATTGGGCCTATTTTTCCTTTCTCCCCTTTTTACTGTTTATGTACTGATAAAAAATGTTGGGGTTCTTTTTACTAACTTCGGCAATATATTTCTCACATTCAATTTTAGCTGCCCGGACTACCAGTTTACATCTTTTATTACATTCTTTGTAATTCTGGAATGCCAATACTGTCCCCTCCGTTTTATACTTACTAAATGCTACTTTTTTTTAATGTATTGTTTTACCGTTTTATTTAGCCATATTGGTTTTGTTTTTGATCTTTTACTTTTGTTACCCAGCGGTATACACCTGGTAATAGCATTTTTTAATTTGTTCTTGAAACAGTCCCACTTTTGGTCAAAGTTTAGTTTATCAAATAAGTTTTCCCATTCGATTTCACCCACTATGTTGCGTAGTTTATCAAAGTTTGCCTTCCTGAAGTTTAGGCTTCTCGTCCGCCCTTCCCCCTTCCCTTTCTTGCACCCAAAATTAAAAGCAATCACCTTGTGATCACTACTACCCAGTGTCTCCCCGATAACAATATCCTCAATTAACTCGTATTATTGCTGATGATCAGATCTAGGATGGCATTTTCCCTAGTCGGGACCTCAATCATCTGGTCCATGAAATTGTCTTGCAACATATTAAGAAAACGTGCCCTTGCAGATTTCGAAGTTCCATTAGCCCAGTCGATGCTTGGGTAATTGAAGTCTCCCATTACCACAACATTACCCTGTTTCCCCGCTATTTCTATTTGGGATTGTAGGTGGGCCTCCTCCTCTTCCCCTATATTTGGAGGTTTATAACAGACACCCACAATAAGTTTACGGTTAGGGTTCGTTCTATCTAGTTCTAGCCATCTCCACCAGCTGACGTGATATCGTCACGGATGTGACTATCTAACCACGTTCCTGCTATTCCCACTATATCGTAGTCCTCCTCGAGTAATCTAACTTCAAGGTCTTGTATTTTATTTGCTAGGCTTCTAGCATTGGTGAACATACATTTAATTTGTGTACTTTTACCGGTTAAACGTTTGCTCCCCACTACTATTTTTAATCGTACCTGTTAGGGTTGGTCCTTTCCTAGTCGGTTCACCTTGGTGAGCCCTCTGTCTAATCCTGTGATGTTTTTTTCTTTGTTACTATTTGTTGCCTAATATTAAATTTTTTGGTTTTTATTTTTTGATGTGCACCATGACAACTGGGTTGTGCCCAACCCCATCTAGTAACCTGTCAATTTGTTCCGCAATGTGCCGAACACGTGCCCCCGGTAAGCAGCACACTAATTGATTGGGATGGTGATTGGGAAAAAAAAAAAAATGGTAAATGCAGATACTAGGTTTTCTTTACTGAATTCTCCAACTTCAAATTGCTGATGGCAAACAGAGTACTTTGGATGGTGTATTGGAAAGCCAATAAAAATAAGGAAAAACCATTGTGTGCATTTATACATTCCCCATTTACCTTTTTAATGTGCGAGTAAAAAAAACAAAAAACAAACCGCACATGTAAATATCTCCGCGACTTCAAAGTCCTGAAGCCGAGGGAGCACTATTAAAATGAAAAAAAGGCCTGTCAAAGTCACGCGACTTTCTGATCTCCAATCACTTCGCTCTCTCTGCTGCCTTAAGCAGAGAAAACTCTATAGGATACGATCTGCTTTAAAATGTGCAAAATCCAGGCCGTGGTATGGTGTAACCCTGCAGAGTATAGCGAAGAGTGGATATTGATATTTTTCTATCTCTCAACCAAAGGCTGAGAAGGCAAAGTAATTGACCACTTTAGCAACCACAGAATGTAAATAAAGAACTCGAACATACATAGGCTAGCTGGTTCTAACATACCTTTTAGACAGAAGAAGCCATATCATTAGGCTCATGTCATACTTGTTTCCAGCAACAACATAGCTAAGAAAACACTCACCTGCTTTTACATTGTTGCTCCCTCACTGGCTAAATTGCTGCAGCATCTTATTTACCAGTGAGGAAGCAGATATATGCCTGCAAGGGAATGATGCTGTAGTAGTAAGGAGTGTTTTCTCTACTATCTTAGCAAAGTTATCATGATCAACAACTTGCTAGTGTGACATGGGCCTTATAAAGTACAATGCTACTACTACTATAAAAAGTAAAAAACAAAGAAACCCAACAGATCATGGAACATTTAAACAAATACACTGCACTTTGTAGCTATCACTAAACCAAATGCATAGAGCAAATCAAAACAAAAGCACAATTTAACATTCCAAGAATGTGTAAACCTCCCCGATTTATTTAATATTACCTAAACTAGGTAATCATCACAGCTCAGAAACCGTACATAATGATAGAAAGACTGAATCATACTAAAATCACCATTGCAAAAGGTTTGCGTTTGCCTGCTTTCAGGTGATAGGGAAAGCACATCATTATGGAGGTGTTGTCAGTAAAGTGTATGTCCAGCACATTTTTTTTTACGGGTTTTGGATAGATGGGGGAGTATTAAAACCGCTCTGTAGGGTTTTTACTGTTATCCGGGACTCCTGGGGACAAAAGTTTGACCAGACAAGAAGTGAGAGAAACACACAACAATAAATAGATGAGAGAGGCGTTAGTTTTATCTAGGGCTAAAACAACTAATCAATTTAATTGATAATAGATAATGAGAATCGTTGTCAACGATTATCGATTAGTTGGTCTGGATCCCCTGCGTCTCTCCTCCTCCCCCCTGGGAGCCAGTGTTTCATCTGCTCTGTATCCCCTCTGATCCCAGACCCATGACCACAGACCACTGCAGCTGGTGTCCAGCGGTAAGGAAAGCTCCCCCAAATCTTCCCTGCAACCAGGGAAAATAATCGTTAGTTGCAGAAACCAAAGCCCTCATTCTGACACCTAGTTTTCTCCCTACTCTACTACAGAAAATGTAAAAAAACATTTATTTTTGTCTGTGGTGCAGAGGGAGATTTTGTAGCAGTTTGTCTGGTAAAACCTTTGCCAAAGTGACAGCAAGTGAGGGGAAAGCTCTTTAAATCGAGCCCCAGAAAGCAGTAAATCAAGACGGGGTTTTATGCCTTCTTTACTACATCCAAAACTAAAAAATAATAATTTTTGGGCTGGATGTACAGTTTAAAGTGTGTCTTAATCCAAAAACAAAAAATGTAATATATTGCAGCTTACCAGACCCCTTAGATCTGGTAACTTCATTAGTTTCCTTTTTTAGGCTTTTGTTTTCCTTTATGTTCACCTTGTTATCCTGCCAGTTCACAGACGATAGCGGAGAAAGCTGGTAACAGTTTTTGAGATTTCAGTACAGACAGAGAAAGTTACAGGAAAACCAGATTTCAGACAGTAACAGGCATTTTCTGTACTTGGCCTGAAAAAGGAAACAAATGCAGCCACCTCATCTTAATACTGGTAAATAGTTTTTTCTCCGGTTTAGACATTTGTTCATTAGACCTGTAATCTGCAATAACATAAAATGATCAAACATGATTTCAAGCAAAAAGGATTTCGCTAACCTGCAGCTCGAAGCAAGCAAGCATCACAACAAAGACAAAGCAGAGACAGGACATGCAGATGGGTAGACTGACACAGGACTGGAATAAAAGACGCTTCCATGGGGGGTAGTGGAACTCTTCACAGTTTGTCACTGGACTGATTCTCTTGACACCCTACGTATGACAAAAGACAAAAAAAATGATCCATCACAGAAAATTTTAAGATAGTAAATAGACTCTTTTCAACCCATAACACATCACTACATTTACTTTGCAAAATAAAATATGAAGGGTTAACGTGGTTTATTGTGATTGATGAAGCAATTAAACCTTTACTCTATAAGTATTGTCCCTTACCCTGAACTGTGATCGTGGCTCCTCAATAAACTCAGCAGGGGTATCCAACGTCCCCCACTTGTATGCCAGTGCAGCCCCTCGACGTTTCCAGCCTTCCAGAAACAAAGTAGCCCAAATAACATTGAAGAGAGCAAAGACCACACAGCAAATATCTCGACTGGTCTGAGGAAACAAATCCAAAATGAAAAACATATTGTTAGGAAAAACTTCAAGAACTGCGACTTATTTTAAAGTAGAACTTTAGGCAAACAGGTGAATATATACATATTGCTTTATCTGCCAACGTATTTGTAACTTAGTCCTAGTTTATGTGTATTGTAGGTCAGCTGCATCTACACTGCACAATAATGATTATGCTGCCTCACAATCCAATTAGAAAGCTGGAGGGAGATTGCTTAATCTTGAACCAGGAAGATGAATGTGTATAGGTGGTCTATAGGTGGTCATACACTATGCGAATTTCAGCCAGTTCTTTCGGCTTTGTTTGGGTATTCGGACAGCGGCCACCGTCTGAAAACAGCAGGAGATTCCTCGATCAATGCTCATACGCGTTAATGGAGGAATCTATTAGATTTTCTTTGTTCAGCCTGTAGTTTGAACAAAGAAAATATTAGTGTATGGCCACCTATAGTCATTTGTCCAGCTGTGCAGTATGGAAAATGTTTGAAAATCACAAAACTGGCTGCAGAGAATTACAAATCCTTTGTCAGGTAAAACAGTAAATTTATATGCATTTCAACCGTGTATTTACCTGTTTACTTGTAGTTTTTCTTTAAGTTAACCATAAGGATAAGATGTTCATTGCCCAATGAGATTGCCCGATTCTGGTGTTGTCAGAAGACCTACAGGGTTATTCTCTAATGGGTGAAGAGTTTGGAGAAGGCAGGAGAAGTGAACAATCTAGGCCAAAATAGTTGATTTGGAAAAAGTCTCCAATTCAGCTCACTTTCCAGTTGAGCTATGTTGTCCTAAATTGTTCACTTCTCCTGCCTTCTTCTAACTCTTCACCCATTAGAGAATAACCCTGCTTGTGATCCACAGACCGTTTTTTTTTTTTAATCATATGCTTAGTTTAAAGCTGATCTCTGTGTAAACACAGAATGCATAGAAACATTCCCCTAATGAATAAACAACACAGAATATTCTCTTAGTCCGCACTGACACCAACACTTTCAGGAGTGTTAATGTCCGTGGTCCCCTGCAGCTCTCCTGCAGGTTCCTCCCTCTGACCTCAACCCATAACAGGATACAGTAGTGAAATTAAGGTTATCAGTAGGAACCAGTGAAAGCTGCAGGGGACCAAGGAAAAATCGACATTCCTATAAATGTCAAGTTTCATTGCCACACTTCAGCAGAAGATTCCTCAGCACTGGAAGGGAGTTTACTGGCATGGGCATCATGAAAGGTAAGCATGTCCCGTCTTCTTTTAAAAGTATAGCTTTGTAGAAATGTCTTTGTATTGTTTTAACTGTTTTAAGCATGTGACGTGGGGATATCTAGATTATATAACACGGTGGCAAAGTTACAGGACTGGCTGAGATTAGGCAGAAATGATGTACAGGTTAAACAGGAGAAGTTATCCCAGAAGTATAAACAACTTCTATGCTTCCCAGATCACTTTTTTCTGTGTTGAGATATTCCTGGGTTTTAGCTGCGTTTACATGTGTTTAGCTACATAAAACCAGGCTAATCAATCCCAAGATACAGAAAATTCTTGTTTGTGTAAATGCAGCTAGAATGAATGTACCTGGACACTGCTGAATCTTTTTAATCCCTGTGTGCATGGGGCCTACTATTTAACCGCTTGAAGACCAGGTGTTAAGACACCCTTCCCGGCCAGGCCATTTTTCAGTGTTCAGCGCTGCAGTACTTTGACTGACATTTATTCCGTCATGCAACGGAATAAATGTCATGCAACGGAAGCACAGATCTGCTCCATCAACTTCTTTCCAGCTTCTGATATAATATACAACACTTCCGCATTCTTGCAGCGGAGAGGGGACCGGAGGGAGCTCGTGTACTGATCTCCCTCTGATTTCCTTTGACACAGGCACCATGCTTATCCCGGGCTCGCACAGCGGAGCCCGGGACCAGCGGGACAACGGGGATGGTGGGCTGACCGCAGAGGGGGGGACGACGACACACCGATCGTTGCCCCATACAAGCGATCCGGCTCTATAGCCGGCGGATCGCTTGTATGTTAACAGGCATCTCTGCCTGTTTTTAAATAATTGGGCATTTCCCGTTCGTGCGCGTGTCTGAGCGGACGTCTAAAGACGCCCGCTCAAATCTAGAGAGCTCCCGGCTGGCCGTTTTTTTACAACGGCCGGGAGGTAGTTAAGTAAACTCCACCAGCATACTCTGCTGTGATCCTTCTATCGTAGGTATTAGGGTTGCACCGATACCGTTTTTTCGGTATCGAGTACAGATGCATTTTTTTTATGGTACCCGCCGATAGCGAATACCGATACTGGAAGTCCCATTAAGGAAGCCAGGCGGCGTGTAATGACTCGCCACCTGGCTTGCTGATTAGCAGGGAAGCCGTCTCCATGCTTCCTCGTCACCAGGTGACGAGAAAGTATGGAGCCGGCTTTCTGGCCAATCAAGAAGCCAGGCGCTGTGTAATGACTCGTTGCCGGCTTCCTGATTGGTCGAGAATCTGGCCAATCAGGAAGCCGGGCAATGAGTCATTACATTGCACCCGGCTTCCTGAATGGCTGGGAAGCCGGCTCCATGCTCCCTCATCTCCAGGTGACGAGGGAGTATGAAGCCGGCTTTCTGGCTAATCAGAAATCCAGGGGGGCAGGTAATGACTCGCGGTCCGGCTTCCTGATTGGCCAGCTTTCCGACCAATCAGGAGGCTAGGTGGCAAGTCATTACATGCTGCCCGGCTTCCTGATTGGCAGGGGAGGTGGCTGCATGCTCCCTCGTCACCCAGTGATGAGGGAGCATGGAGACGGCCAATCAGGAAGCCAGGCAGCGTGTAATGACTCACTCACTGCCCGGCTTCCTGATACCGGAAGCTCAGGTATCGGGCTAGGCACCGGAGGATTTAGAAGAGTACGAGTACTCGCCTAAATACTCAGCATCAGCAACGATACTAGTATTGGTGTCAGCGCATCCCTAGTAGGTATTATGACATGACAATGTCAACGCTGCCTACAGTAAGACAAAGATCTATGCATTCAAGAATATAATAAAATATGTTTTTCCTGGAGTTTAACTTTATATTTGCCATGGATCTCACAAAATAAATTAGGGTGTAGTACATCTGGACAGGTCACTATTTTTTGTTTTCATTCAGTTAGTTCTTTAGCATGCCAGATGCATGGAAGAACTAAAGGAAAATGGTAATTTCTAAAATTCCCTTTAACTGCTAATGGAGTCTAGAATCATATGAACGTATAGTACCCCTATTTAACCTTGCCCATAAGGTCGATCGTGATCTACCAGTCGATCGCGTAGCGATCAGTGGTAGATCGCGATGGCCTCTCGTCCCGTCCGTGGTGCTTCTCTGGATCCCCGCTGCTCTCCCCACCTGTATGCAGCGGGGATCCGAGAAGTGAAAGAACCGCTGCAGCCCGCGGCGGAGGAGGACGGAGCCGCGGTCACAGAACGAAGGCGAGCGGGGAGGAGAGAGACGCTCGGCCTGGATCCGACAGCCGGCGCTCTCTCTCCCCTAACCACTCGTCCTTAGTTCTGTGACAGCGGCTGTCACAGAACTAATATAGAATTAGTTTTAGTATAAAATTAGTTTTAGTATAATACAGAATTAGTTAATATAGAACATAGTACTATGTGTCCCCAGTAAAGAATGAACAGGATGTGATTTACATCACTTCCTGTTCATTTTGGGGTTGTATTGAAGTCAATGGCACCACAGCCATGCCCCCCTCCCACAGTGCGATCGCCCGCACCCGAAAAGCAGGCACATTAGTGCCTGCATTCCGGTCCAGTGCGATCTGCAAAAATTGCAGATTGCAGCATTTTTCCGGATCACACTGGACTGGAACACATGCACTAATGTGCCTTGGTTCCGGGTACAGGCGATCGCATTGTGGGCGAGGGGCCTGCCTGCGGTGGCTGGCTGCT